ATTCAGGTATGACGTCGCCCCTTGACCGGATCTCTGTCTAAGAACACAAAAATTAGAGGAAAATACCGCACCATTCCAAATGGCAAAGGCTGTGCATGTGGAACGATTTGTTGCATTCCATAACAAGCATTATTTGCTCGTCCCATTTGCATGCCGAAAGACGGCCCTCGATCAGCAAAATGACAAGCTGGTTGGATTGGAGAAAGTTTTGGCAGACTTAGACGCCCTCATTGAAAGGAGCCAAGAGCAAGGAAAGCATACTTTGCCTTTTGCTCACAGTTTTGCGGCCGACCTGCTGGCTACACTGCAGCAGTGAGTTAATGTGAACAAAGTAGCACATTGGGCGCTTCCTGACTGACATCTGCATTCCACTTCAAGACGTGCACACGGAATAGTGTCAACCGAAATGGGAAGACCCCAACACCAACAAAAAGGTTCGTCTAACAGGGGCAAAATCATGCTGATTTTACCAACACTAATGTTGAGCCTTGAATGAGGTTAGGCAGTTTGGACCTCCTGCTAGTCCAGAGAGTTTGGCATACATACATGGCCCTTCCAGAGAGACAATGCCCTTCATATGCTGCCGACAGCCCCCGCTTTTCACGCCTTATTTCCGCTTTCCTCGTTTGTCGCACCAATCTTCGACTTACTAACTACACTGATCAGAATTGCAGAATTGATAGCATTACTCCACAACCCCTTCCAGTGGTCGCTTACATGCTGCAGGAACATTTACAAACGGTGCACACTCCCCAACCCACAATTCCAGCTTCTTCAAACCCCTCGACTACGTCAGATTCAATTGTTTGTCTGGCACCCATTATCAGTATTTTTTAACAAAACATGGAAGAAAGTTGCATTTTGCAGGTGCCTTCATTACAAAAATAAATGACAAGTTGGTCACAATTTTTCGCAGAGTCCTACTGATTTTCCTTCATTCCAGAGAAACTGTTTCATACACAGCAAAATCCGCGGTCGCAGTGATCGAGTTCATGGCTCAAATCAGTTTGCGGCAAAGGAGTGCGCCTTGTCTATGTGGGAAGAATTGACATCCATTGAAGTTTGATTGTAATGCGGAGACTTCTTCATGCACAATCCTGTCCTTCGAATGATGGACTTACGAATATTCTCGTTCAGCCAACCATAAAGGAAGGGATTGGCACACGTTGAACTTAGCGCGAACAACTACAACGGAAACTGAGCCAATGTTACTCCAAATGCCTACAAGCTAGAGGCCAGTGACAACGATCTTCTAGCAAATTGGTCCCCAAATAGCGACAGCTCTGAGCACCGATAGTCTGGTTTACGGAAGCCATTTTAGCGGAGGATACTTGTGCTGAACAGCCGATAGCAAAAAGATGACCTCCTCCTCCTTTCGAGACCACACAGCATTTAACTGCGTGCACTCTTTATTAGGCAACCACGTCAAACTCAGCATTGCACACCGGCAATGCAGGCTCGCAGCCAGTTGACCTCATGATCGGCCCGCTATAAGGCCGCGCTCCCATAAGCAACGCATGGAAGGGTAATGCACCCTGTTGTTAGCAACTGCTTCTTTGCAAGTTGGAAGAGTTAACGTACTTTATGTGATGGCAGACAATCTGACGTAGGCTGCTCAACGTCAGGCATAGGTGGAGGGGAGCAAGAGTCGCGTGAAAGGACAACAAACACACGCGCTGTCTTGGAGTCCTGCTTCATTCCAACACACTGACGCCCATCTATAGATTACGATAACTTTGCGCTCAGGTTTGTCAAGAGAATCCATAGTTTTCGCGAGACACGACACCAGTTTACTCTGCAAGTACACTCGAGCGCTGAGTGTCAACGCTCACAATTTTGGATAAGGGAGATTTGGAGACGGTTACAAAGTAAAGCAACCTAAGCTGCTGTTAGCCGCGATTCGTTCACTACAGAAACACACAGCACCAAGCGCGCAATTGTGACCATCGGCGATATCTCCTCCGTTACTTCATCAAATGAATGATAACGCAATGGATCTGTTCAAATATCAATGTAATCCCGTGGATTCCTTTAGAACACTCGACTGTTTCACTCACTGTGCTATCAGGTCATTGCTCCACGGCCTCCCGCATGGGATACAAAGCTTACATCCTCACACTTTATTAACGGGCGCCAATGGCATTGAGGCCGAATGCCTCCTCACTCAATGACTACCTCCAGACGTGCTCCAGACAACCGACGCCTAAAATCTCTCCACATTTTAATCACCAGTCCAGTTGAAGCAAAGGAAAAGAGACAAATTTTCGCTCCAAATGCACGCCGACAGGGCATGTCTGTTGACACCTATTCTAGATCTGGCAGCACCAAAAATGAGGTCCTTTCACTTCAACATTTAACAGTCTGCCAGTCCACCGACGTTATGAAAGTCGCAAACTTGCCTTTAGAACCAGATCTGTAGTCTTCAGATTTGCATTCACAGTGATATTCTGGTTGCCCGGATCCACCATAGCCATCTCCTCAACAGGCACGTCAGCGATAGCGAAGACAGTACACTCGAGGTACAGCGAGTAGAGTGTCCAGGGTGTCCAACATCCGGCGAAACAGGCGACAATACCAACGAGAATGCGATGAGTGCGTCGAGTACGCACTTCCAGTCGGGCGGCTAGGTGAATGTGACCGGCGGACGTCTTCTGAGTGTGGTACAGCTGACCACGGCGGTGCGCAAGCCACCAGCCAATGTGCGCGTAGAGTATGAGAGTGACGATGAGAGGCGTGAGAAACTGACCGATCACCACCAGCACAGAGTAGATGAGACGTTGTAGTGGGGATGGCCACTGCTCCACACAGTACATTGGAAAGTGGCGCTCGCCTAGAAGGCAAACGATGTCAATTGTCTTTTTATTTCCTTCGTTGCAAGCGCAATCTTTCCTTTCATTACGACAGCTCACACCAAATCCACTCCAATTTTGCCTGACTCAAATAAGTCCCTCCATAGCCTTGTCCGCATTACATTCTCTCCCCAGTTGCTTGCTACTTCATTGTACCTCGTATTCCAATAACTTGACTTTTAGCAGTTTTTGCGAAATCCAGTCCAACTTCTACTGTGCACTCAATAGTGCTAATTTGAAAATGTAGTGAGCAAGATGACCATCAAATAAGGCGACACACCTATAGGATGACGTGCCTTGAATCCAACATGTGGGG